TCATTTAATGTACTGGTGGTCCCATCTGAAGTTTATTGCTGGAAAGAGCACTAATGACTCAGTGCTCTGTTACTAGTGGCCTGCCAATGAGCCATCTGGAGGATGCTAAGAGAGGACTACCTAGCTGACTGGACCACCTTCTCTCCTGTTTGAGGACAAATGAGATCACTTGGCCCCAAATAAAATATCTCTATTTAGCAGCTCCCACTTAAAACTAAACAGATGGTCAAATGTCACATCATTAATCTTCCAACCAGGGTTATGGCAAGTGTAATCATTCCTATTTTGTTTCTGTAAAGAAAAGGACATTGACAGATTAACTGGTGTGTTCACAGGACCCTCAAGTCCTGCATTCTGAAATAGGAAATCAGTTTGCCTGCCTCATGCATACTAGTTTGTCAGACAGGGGAGGCATTTTAAGACATGATGGAAAGCATGTGGAGGTATTGTAATTATTCAACATTAATCCCTACACTGCCAGCACTTGGGAGGTAATGGTGCACATAAATTTAATTAGTATGTAGAGAACATCAATTTTCTCCCAAAGGAAGAAAGAAAATTCTCTAACATCCTGTACTCTTCAATCTGTCAACTGCCTTGAGGAATAGCTCTTGAGGTAGAGGTCTGAATCTTGAACTTGCCATTGCCAATCCCTTTATCAAACATGCCATGCTCACCTCACGTCTTGTAGGACTGAAGTTCTTTTCTGGTTGTCTTGTCTCCCCAAATCCTGAGATTCCTAAACTTATATTTCTAGTGCCACTCCTTGTCCCCAAAATACCATCATTCTGATCGAGAACAAATTGCTCTAAAAATATCCAACATTGCCCCCAAATTCTTATTATTTTAAAAAGTGTCTATTGAATGCCTGAAAGTTTTTATATGACATTAGATCCAAAATAAGGTCAGGTAAGTAAGCAGGTTCTGGCTTTTTGCAACTTACACTCTTAAACAGACAATTCAAGTATTGAAAATGTACAGGGTAGCTAGACATCTTTCACTGAACTTCATATATTTGTTTTAGTAGTCAGCAATCATAATGGAAAAGAAGTATTGGGAAAATCAGAATAATTTAAGAGTTAGCAGAGTGAAATTGTTAAGAGCTCACACTATGAAGTCAAACCAAATGGGGTTCAAATTCTAGTTCTGTAATAATGGCCAATCTCTGGAAACTTGTTTCTTCAACTGTAAAATAGAAATAATAACAGGATATAACTATAGGGTTGGTGTGGGGATTATGTGAGGTGACACATATGTGATTCTTAAGCGTGCCTGTTCTTAACAATTATTATTAGTCATTATTAACTCTGCTGGCTTATAAATTCCAAAAGGATGTGTTTGTGTCATTATAATAATAAATATTATTGAAATCATCCTGTAATAATTAAGCAAATTGTCCAAGGTCACTCCCCTAAAAAGTGGTAGAGACAGGATTTGAACCCTGGCTAGCCCAATCCAGAGCAGGCCCTCTTGGCCAATCACTATCCTTGGAGTATTGAACATGGAATAGGTGTTCAATAGAAATCTGTTAAATAAATGAATCCTTTTATCCCAGACAAATAAACCAACCACCAATATCAAGGGCAACTAGGAGAATTTGAAACAAGGTAAAAATTTTACAAAAGCTTTAAGAGGATTTGACCAGTCTTTTTATATAACAGGAGTAATTGTAATTACTGATCATGGTGATTCATTCCTAAAAAGATCACATTTCTTCACCTGTGGCCCACAGGGAAAAAGTGGTTACTTGTAGAATTTTTCACAATTGCAAACAGGGATTTTCAAGGCCACCTGCCTAACCTCACCTGTATAATCTCTCTGCACTCTCCGTGTAGACCCACTGAAATAAAATGATGGCCAAATTGCAAGCTCTTTTGGAAGAAGGTTAATTTTTTCTCTGCTCTCTGCATTGTGCCAGCACACTTTATTTACTAGATTGATAACTCATTGTCAATTGATAAGCTTCCTCTTGGTTTCTCTTAGAGGTCTTTCAATCCCACTATTCAGGTCACCCATTTTCAGGTCACGATTTGCATCCTGGTTCCTCATTCACAGCACTGGTTAGACAGTATAGCCTTTAGTAATTAAGAGTAAAAGGAAAGAAATTACTCATATTCTAATGAGTTTATAATCTAAGCAGGGGCCATCTCAAGCAATACCTTCAAACTAGCAATAATCCATGTGGAAAGAGTGTAACAGAGTGACTGTGGAGTCAGAGTGTCTGGGATCTCATCCTGAGTCCATCAGCTTCTGTGATCTTGGGCAAATTGCTTCACTTCGGTTACTCTCTGCCTCAATTTGTTTCTCTGTAAAGAAAAACAATGCTGACTTGCAAGGTATGCCAGGGGCTTTACAGTGTCTGCCACATAATAACTGTTCAAGAAATATTAGTTATTAAACCTTGAGGCTCATGTAGCCTAGAGCCTGCCACCGTCCGATGCATGTGTACCACCTCCAGACTAAGACAAGTAATGAAGGCCTCAAAGAACCTCTGTGTCCTGGGGTACCTGGCATATAAAGTGCCTGGCAGGGGTAAATTACTTGGATTTGACATGGGACCCAAAAAGAACATCTTCAGGTTTGATTCTATAAACATGTATTATCTCCCACAAGATTACAAGCTCTTGGTCTCTGACTTGAATCATTTGTTTAGTTACAATTCTGAAAATAAAACCTTTAAGAGTGAAAAAGCAGGTTCACTCATGTGTGTTGGTGACGGTCAAGAAGAGAGATGAATTTTTTGATCTATCAGGAAGATCTCAATGGAGACTTGTGGGAATCTCAAGAGACCTCTCAGAGCTAAAGAGCAAATTTCTTATGGCTGAGAGGTAAGAGTTGAAGCTACAGAACAGAGAACACAGGAAGATGGGCATAACAAAGCCAAAGGGAGGAAAATGATTGGGGCATGGAGGATGGCTTGTGTCCAATGCTACAGAGGAAGAAAACTGGGGACTGGAAAGTGCCACTCAATTTAGCAATTAGGATATCGGTGATAAGTGTTTAATAGTTTAGTGAGAGTAGCTTTAATTGAAGTTACATTTTAAGGAGTTGTGTAGGTGGTGAAAATTGGAAACTGTCAGCTTTCAGTAAAAGATGCCAAAAGGAAAAGGAAGAATAATTTGACATGTCAAAAGACTATAAATGCCTAAACACATTTAAGCAATCGGGGTGGGGTGAGGGGAGCAGGGACAGAAACCTTGTCCTACTCATTTCCATATCCCCAGCTCCTGGCCTGAGACCTGCTTAGTAAATGTTTATTGAATATGCGGATCTTAATCCACACTTAATCTACTACACATAAAATATACTTAGCATGTAATAATTTTTTTTACAATGGTAATCTGTCTGTAACCAAAATCATTCTTTAGAAATAAGCGTGTACATGTTGTTGGAAGTGGTTGAGGAGGTAAGGAGTGCTCCTGCACTAGGACTGGCTCGGAAGACATGGACTTCCGTAACTGTTGGGGCCACCTGTGTAGAAATGCTGGACAATAACCACTTGTGAGGAAGTAGTAAATGACCAATGGCACTCAGCTGTTTCCAAAGTATTAACTGGTATGTTTCCTTTCAGTCAATGAAGAACTGTCCCAGGCTCCTGATCACCATCACCACCGCAGGGCTGCTTCTTCCCTGCACCACAGAAGGCAACACAGGTGACCTCTGGGGACTCATCGATGGCTAAAGTGCACTGAACTTCTGCTCAGAGAGTAACAGCCAATGGCTTAGCGAGCAAAGGCTAACAAACTAGAACCACTGCAAACACAGAAAGACTATTAAGATGCTCGTTCCGAACCATATTGACAAGTGGCAGCTATTATCCAAGAAGACTTCTTTGAGCCTCAGCTTACATAGCAGTTCTTCAGAGAGGACCAAGAATAGAAGCTTTTCTTGGAGGTGCTCTATGGACTGGACACCTTGCAACTTTCTACCTTTTAAAGGACTATGTCTATTCTGAAGGGCATATTTTAAAAATAAAATCCATATGACATAACCCTGTGGAAGTCCACATTATTGTAGAGGTAAAGAAACTCTGGTAGAGATCAGATAGACAGCAAAACAGGAATGCCTTGGGGGCTCCCGGGGTTCCCTGTGAGGGTTCCCACCTCCTCCTCTTGCACTTCGACAGCTGACAGCCTTTGACACCTTTTCAAGCATCATTCTGGCCCTGAGTTTGCCTTTCTCCTTTTCCCAGTTGCTTTCACAATCACATTATCAAATCACAAAACAAGTGCAGCCTTTCAATATTACACCCACGAATGCAGCTTTCAGCATGACGGGACTTGGAAATACTGGCAATTTGATGTTGGGAAAAGGAGAGCAGAGTGTTCCTGTAACTCATGAGGAGAATAATTCAAGTCTTTGCCTTTGAAACCAAAACATCAGGGAGCTATTTCTAAATGAGAGAGGTCCACATTTCCCCAACAGAATTCTCTTTCAGAGACATTGCTGAGAGAGGTAACAGTTGAAGCTATAGAACAGAGAACACAGAAAGATGGACATAATAACATAATAAAAGCCAAAGGGAAGAAAATGACTGAGGCATGGCGGGGGTGAGGGAGGTGGGGATGGGTGGGGGTGAGGAGACTCAAAGAGACAACACAGATAACTTAAACAGTTAATTCAAAGTGGTGGTTAAAATAGTGATTACTATTGTGCTTTCCAGTTTTCTAGTTAACATTAACAAAGGATGCTTAACATGTCCTAAGTGTAAGTCTGGTTATATTCCAATATTTATATATGAATCTAACAAGCTATTAGAGTGATTAACTTTATGAAACACATGAACTTGGTCACCTGTGAGAAATGCACCAATTTCCCATAGTGACATACAATCACACAAAAGATTGCATGGATGACGAAGGGAAAAAAAGCAAGAATCCACCACCAATGCTGAGTATTTTCTGCTTCTTCCCCCTCCCCTCACAAGTTCTTCATATGTATCCGGTGAGCTATTGGACTCCATTTGCACTTCTTGAAAAACATGAAATTCACCCTTTGACTGAAGACACTCATTTCCATGTTTTATTGCATCTGATTACAATGAAAATGTCTGCTGGGGCTTTCAGACTGGGGTAATATTAGAATAACAGTATCCGTGCCATATGGAAGGAATAACAATATTCTTTCAGTTCTGCGGGGATCTCTTTTTAGCCCCTGGTGGAAGTCAGCTTATGAAAATGCTTTTGGAACAGAAGGCGTGGAAGGACGCACCGTATTCCCAGCTGCCAGCCAAATCTGCAGTTCGGCCCCCAGCGTTTGTTCACCTTCTGGAAGCGAGTACTCTGGAAGCCAGACTCTTGGCTTTGGTGGATGCCACTCCAGCATCTCCGCCTTGCCAGCCACGGTGGTAACAGATGAGCTCTAAACATACATGCTTCCAATGATAAGTATAACCAAGTAGTTTAAAGCAAGACCTATTTCTTTTGTTGCTGTTGAGTAAGACGAGAGGAAGGACTTTCCAATAAAATCACGAGTAGATCTGCGAAGGTTTCTGTGTGTGGAGAGGGACAGACACATGTTAGTTTTCCCAAGTCCAGGGTTTCACTACAATCTGCTTGTAGACACTGCTACTCAATTTGACAAAACCTCTACAGAGCACAGCCAACCAGCTGCATGGCGACGCCTTTGCTCTTCACATGCTCACAGGCAGTGATCTCACTCCAGCTCACATGGCTTTGGCCCTGCATCGTGGCTGCCCTAGACCAGGCCAGCAGTCTTCCCACATTGTCCTACCTATTCTGTTCTCTCCTGTGCTCCACAGCCTTTCAGCAGGGGCCATACATGCTCTCACCTCAACAGTTCCTAATCTCACTTCAAATGTTCTCATATCTGAAAGAATTCCCAATTGTTTCCCCTACAGGAGACCTTCAATAAAACACTGTAATGGATGTTCTGAGTTTTGTTATGTTGCCATTTATTCAATGAAAATTTACCAAAGGAAAAAAATTTCCCCACAGAGCTAACCTAAGGCAGCTAATATTACCTTTCCATCTATCCTGCTGGAAACGTGGTCCTGGGATACTGCAAGCCCACACCTGTCCTTCACATCCTGAAACTGTGCATGTAGACAAAACAGAACATTAGATAAGGGCACACATTATGTGCCCTGAAATATTGCTTGCAACCCTTTTTAAAAAAAATGAAAACTTACTTATAATTAAACCGATAAGGTAACAGCCTCCAGTAGTTTCTAGATACCATTTAGTAGCAACTGGAAAAGCAGAAACAGATAAACACTTCCATATACCAAGAACCACTTTTTCTTGACATTTTGAGTACTTTGGCAAAACTGTCTCAGAAATCACAATTCATACCTGTTAAACACTTTTGAGAAATCTATTTTCTGATTTGTTTATAAAAAGTTAACATTTTCAAAGCAAAATGCGTTTGAGATTCTTGCTTTCTGACTAATTAGTATGTAACCAGGAGAGGCCTCTGAGTTTGTCAGAATTTGCACAATGACGTTCACTCTGCCAAATGAGTGACAGAATGGAGACATGTGTTCAAAAAAAATTACCTCCAGGTTGGGAATTTTAAAATATTCTTTCCATTTAATTTCTCAAATCCACATTCTGAACCCAGATTAAGAGCAGAGGTTCCTAACCTTCAATTTAGATAATAAAGACTTATGAGAATTTGACAAAAGCCAGGAATCATCTTTTATCTCTAAGAAAAATGCACATAACCATTGCTTTGCATATACTGGGGAAAAGCTTAGCTCCTTGAAATCTGCGGTTAGGAAGTCTACAACCAGAATCTTAAGGATTTGTGCCTCTTACACCAGCCAGCTCAGCTGCCTCCATAGCAGAGGAGCATAAAGGGTTCCTGACAACACGGGGCTCAGCGAAGGCAGGTCCCTTACCTCCAAAGCCAAACCTTCCCATCAGGCTTCCCAAGTCACCTCGTGACAGGAGAGAGTTCTACGATGGACAGCCCTCCCAGAACACAGCTCAGACTGGTGGTGATCTTAAACTCGCCCGTGGTGGGTTCACTTGGACATAGTCTTGTTAGTATTCATGACAATTACCATTTTGTTGAGGGCATTACTGTGCCAGGAGCTCTGCGAGGCATTTTATACATTTTTATTTCATCTGACCACCAGAATACCCCCATATTGGGTTATATTATTACCCTCACCTTATCAATGTTTAAGTGCCTTCGTTAAAGTCACATGGCTCAGTTATTCAGAGTAGGGGATTCAAACGTCTATCTGTAGGATTCCGAGGCCAGTGTGTCTGAAGCAAATGTTTTATATAACTTGAAGCTGCTATGAATCTAATTTGACATAATAAATATACATAGGTCACTATTTTTAACCCTGTGGCCAAGGGTCAGGATTTGCCAGCTGGTCATGTTCTCTTCTGGGGCCAACTCTCCGGCATGGTCTAATCCCAGCAAATACCTGAACAGTGTTGACTTCTGAAAAAACTCTTAGTGCCTCAGTGGTGACATTCACATGTCCTAATCGCTAACGCAAGTGGGTAAGCCTGCGTGGAAACTGAGCAAAGCACCATACGATGAACAATGTTTGCTCTGCAATACATGGAGAAAGGACTTGTTTAAAATTATGGGGCTTGGTGACATTTTTAGCCTTTATGATGGGATATTTTGACAAAATAATACAATGAATCCCAGCTTTAGCAATTACCAACTCATGGCCAATGCTGTTTCATTTAAACGACAACTCACTCCTTCCTATCTTCATATTATTCTTATTCCTATAGTAGCCTGACATCATATAATTTTATCCATAAATAAGGACATACTTAATGAAGTTCACACTAGGCAGTAGTTATGGCTAGCTTGTTTCATTGCCAGAGTCTTTTTTTTAAAAGATATATTTTATTGATTTTTTACAGAGAGGAATGAAGAGGGATAGAGAGTTAGAAACATCGATCAGCTGCCTCCTGCACACTCCCCACTGGGGATGTGCCCGCAACCAAGGTACATGCCCTTGACCGGAATCGAACCTGGGACCCTTGAGTCCGCAGGCTGACGCTCTATCCACTGAGCCAAACCGGTCAGGGCAATTGCCAGAGTCTTGGTGGTAATTATTGCATGGACTGTGGTCGATGCCATGAGTAATGCTACAGGATGTCATAAAGAAAAAACTACTCAAGATAGTGAAATACCAACAATCTACCAGCTCTACACATTTTTTAAAAACCTTATTTTTTATCCTGCTGTGACTGTGGAAAATGCATTTCTTTGTTTCCTATGTTCTACACAGCATGGCTAGAAGAGTTACGTAAAATAATACTTGTCAAAACCTTGTGCAACTAAAAGGAATTATTGCTTATCACCCACAAGTTATGTTGCTTTTGACTTGATATACAATTAGTACCTGGATGTCTCCCCTCGGTGAACCTTGCGGACCTCCTTTCTTCTTCTATCCTTTGGGGTTTTGAAAGCTCAGTTATAGAGATTATAACATCCTGAGAAATAGTTGGTAATAAATACAAAATATTTTAAAAAAACAACAGCCTTGCTGCTGTAGTCACAGGTGACGTTACCAGCATTGTTCCCCCACAGGTGTTGCGACCTCTCTGGGGCCCCACGCCCTGCCCATGCTGAGCTGAGCCAGCCTGAGCCCTGACTGACCTCGGCATCTCCTGTCCCACTGGAGCTGCCGCAGACACGCCTCCTGTCGCTGCACCTGTCTTCAACAGCATGGAAAGACACTGTTCAAAATCCCTGGCAAGATCACCCTCTGCTTTAAATACGAATGTTATATATATAAGCTTTCCGATGGAAAATATTTACAGAACCACCTTTGATTCCAGAATATTTCTAAGGCTCGGCTCGATTTAGTCAAAGCTGGGGTGGATTATGTAACCAGGCAGGAGGAGTCTGGCATTGTAAACATTAGGTACACAAACTTTTAACACTGCCTTGGCCACTTGAAATCAGTGATGATGGCAGCATCAAATTATCAAAGATCTGAATAACAGACTCTAAAAATGCTACATCCCACAAAATAACAGGACTTCTGACTGAAGATATCCCTTGATTTTATTTTTTTAAACCTTTATAAAAAAAGAAATGACAAGGCTAGAGAATAAACCAACTTTATTTTATAACAGTATTACAGAAAGCAAAATATCATTTAATACAACTTGCAGCTGCTATAAATCTAATCTGGCATCATAACTATACATCAGGTCAAAAGCAAAGGGAAAATGTTCCATACAGTTAATAAGTCCCTATCAGATCTCTGGTGTCAGCTTCAAACAGTCTAGTTTTCTGATGCCCATCCAAACACCACCACAGCCCTGCCCACTCCTCTCCCCTGTGCCCTCAAACCTGTGTGAATCCCACTATCTGAGAGAGACAGACCTGCTCAATAACAAAAGGTCAGTTTCACATGTACACAAGGAGGTTTAATACAAAGCAAGTGTTCTACACAAATGTCCAAATAATGGAAAGTACTGAAATTTGGACATGTTAAGAAAGAAAGCACTAATAAGGTTTTAAGCTGCCTGAATACTTCAGTAGGGGGGAAGACACCGTTGCTTCTTGCTCCTCCCTCCTGTTTCTGGAATGCTGCCGAAGCGCGTGTCTGAGAGGCGTTGGCACTGCGGTGCGGCGGGGTCTCCGAACACAGCACGTGGTCAGTGAGCTTCTGCATAATTCTCCAGTCTGGAGTCTCTGACTTTCTACTAACAGTAAAAAGTCACAGGACTGGAAAGTCAAAAGGGATCCCATAAAAGATATTCCCAATGAATTTCTAAAACATTAGAAAGTTTTTGAGATGTAAGAAATGCTTTTAATCCGTACTAATATTTTCTCATACAGTGTATTCACTGCAATTCGAAAACTGTAAATATTTGCTGTAATTGGTGGGAGTTCAGTGGGAATGGGAAGGAGAGAAGACGCTACCTAAGTCAGTCACAGCGTTTTCTTTCCGCACAACAGCACCTGTTCCAGTGAACAGCACCTCACCAGCCGGGCTGGCTTTGTTCACTATCATTGGATCATTTGAGTCATAAAAAGCAGGTAGTTGTACACAAAGTAAACAGGAAACAAAACTCCCTAATTAAAATAAAAAAGGAAGAAAGAACCAAGATTACTTAGGAGTGGTTATAAAACAAAACAATATATTAAAATGCGAGGGAACAGAGTAGACCAGAGCTGTTAAGGTAGGGTTTGTTGTTGGCATTTTAACACTTCAGGCTTCTGGTCATTGTTACCAGTCGTAAATTCGCAGGAGTAGTGGTGTGGCATTAAGACTTGAAACAGTCAAAATTCTTCAGGTTCACAAAGTTGAATGTTGTTTAATAAATGGATTTCTAGGAGGAAAAGAGACAAGGCTTAAATATTCAAAGACAGAGGCTTTCAGGAAAAAAATTGTAGGTAACATTCATAAAATTCCAAATCAAGGAAACCACAGTGACTATCTGATTGGTTCTACAGTAAATAATGTTTGCCAGGAGCCATACATGAGACCCTATTCCACCCTTGAGGGCCTTAAATTAAAGTATCTTGAGAACTGACAAGCATATTAGAAACAACTGGCTAGTAAGAATAAACCAAAAGCAAGTAAATTATAAAACACAGGTAATTCATACAGTAAAAATATAAAAAAGAAACCAATATAGGTTTTAAAAGTAGATCCAAGTACAGAAGAAAAACAAAAGTCAATTTTGAATTCACTGAAATGAACAGAAAGGGTACTTTACTTCAGGTGTGGAGAATGGAATGGAGGAAAGAGGCCCGGAAGTGAGAAAGTGCCGAGTATTACGATGGGTGTACAGATGTACGGGAGGGTGGGCAGGAATGAACGTGAGGAACAGGACAGTGAAGAAATGGACGTTACTGAAGCTAAGTAACGGCATGGTGAGTAACTGAAGGTAAGGTAAAAAACATTAAGTACATGTTTTAATACCAGACTGAGAAATATGAACTTGAACTAACAGACAAAGAATAAGTTCAGAAAGAGCATTCAATAAAAAGATCAACTGCCAATCTACTGCAATGATGCGGACTGGAGTGTGAGAGGAGGGACGACAGAGCAGAGCCGGGGCTGGCCAGCTCAAAGGGGGCATGAGAGGAGGCTGGGTGTGACTCTCCTCTGGTTCTGAGGAAGGTCCGACATAGCCTGAGATTTACATTTTGACAACATCACTGTGGCTTCAGTATGATGAACAGACTAGAGGTGGAGGGGAGTGAAGACGGGAACACCAGTCTGAGGCCACTCAGCAGCCCAGGCTGCACGAGGAAGCTGGCACAGGTCAGGGATGGCTGCTGGAACCAAGGACCCAGACAACAGAAATCAGGTGGAAGACACTAGGAAGGCAGTACCAGAGAGTACTTTCAGGTTTGGAGTCCTGAACCTCAAAAACAGAGGTAGAATAAGAGGCTTACAGCCTGGGTGAGGTCTTAGAGCTAGAGATACAGATTTGTCAGCACAAAGGAACAAGTGAAACCAACAGATAGAATTAGTCTCATGTAAGTATAACAGAAAAATGAGAGAAAGAAGTCTTGGGAGCCCACAATGAAAGGTAAGTAGGTCGAAGAGAGGACTAAAATAGGAATGGACAGGGAGGCAGACAAAAAATAAGGATGGTGCATTGTCCCTTAAAGAGAAAGTTTTAAGAAGACAACTTTTTATTTTGTATTTCAGCTTGATTGTAAGTTTTGGTAAAACATAGGTAATTACAGAGGATGGTCGAGAGATAATTAAGGACCTTTCCAAGACACACTGGTCCCAAATTAAGTCCTGTTTTAATGAAAAATCTCCCCACTGTTTAGATGTACCACAGGTATTATAGCCTCTGATTATTCAGGACAGATTGATTAATCAAATTCATTTTATTCCACCCCGTTGTCTGCTTTGGGCTATTTCATTACTCATTAGTACTTGTGCTTGATTCTAGGCAGTGAAAAATCAATGGAGAAAACACAAAGTTGTCTTTTTTAGATTAGTAATTATGAAAAGAAATGTGGGGGGTGGTGAGAGGGAATGGATAAAACTACCCATTGGATTTGGAAGTTATTTGTGACCTTCAGTCACACTATCTAGCTATCCTTTTTCTTTATGGGCTGTTAGCTATCTCTGTTTTCTTTGCTTAGTAAACATGCATCGTTGTTGAACTCAGCTGCCACTGTGCCTAGCTTCTGATATGGAAAATGAACCCCTGAGGTTACAGTGCCTGGAAACCTACAGAGAGAAAGAGGTTGAGGATTCTGTTCTCCATTTCCTTTAGGCTCCATGTCACTTTATTTCACTGAATATGTTTTCACCAAAAATTAAAATTTGAATTTTTAAAATGAAGTGAAAATTAAACTTGTTTAAAAGTCATTAAATGAACAGGAATCAAGGAGTATGTAGGAATTGAATGAAAGAGATCTTGATTTCAAAGAGCTTCAACATTTATTGAAATATATGTAGAGAAAAAGACATAGTCACCCATGTAAAGTCAAGTATCATTTACTTTCATTTATTCATAATCAAACCACTAGAAAGTAAAATAAATCAATTTTTCTGAGAAATAATATAAATGATCATCCAAATAGCTTTCAGAATCAAAAAATTATAGTTATTATAACTTACTGCTAAACACATTTTTCTTGTTCTTTTAAAAAGCAGTATATTGAGTATAACTCTGAGTTAATTAGATATTTAATGTTTCAGAATCCCCAGTTCCTATTGTCCTAGATGCATAAGGAATAACTTAAATGAATTTTTTTAATTTACATGTCCACTCATCTTTCTGACTGCTTTTTGCACTTGAACACATATAGAAATGTATTTCCAAGTAAACATCTAACATTTGAGCTGGGAAGAAGCAAAGATAAGGATGAAATAGCATTAGCCA